AATTAACCGACCCCGGAGGGATGGAAGGCTTGGTTGGCCCGGGCGACTCACGACCCAGGATTTGATCCCCGGACCGCTCGCGTGGTAAGCGCGCCACTTGCCACTACACCACTTCCGCCCCTACGACTATGGGAACAAAAAAGCGCTATCGCAAAACGGGGGTGTGGCACCAATGCACTCAAAACTGCGCAAAACATGCTCTTTCCGTTAAAAACGGGACTAAGTTTCATGCGAGGGAGCAGAGACTTCAAGGTGCATGGGCCATTTTCATTCTTCTCGGAGTTCCTGCTCCTCCCACTAGGCTTAGTCCTAGACGATGCCCCTGCGTATTGCGATAGCGCCAAAAAAGGATTCGCCATTCCCCACTGAATTCTACATTTGCTTTAAGGCGGCAATTTTTGAGCCACTGGGAGAGTGGAAATTTTTCGCTTGCATTCTTTGATGGATCTGCGGGAGGCAATCCGAGACCAAAATTGGCCAAGAAGCATGGAAAATGGATTATAAATGTGGAATATGGGGCAAAATGAATGAGGCTGGATGGTCGATGACGAAAATAAAGCAATGTCTGGAAAAGAGAAATGGAACGAAAATGGGATCAATGCACCGAACCATACTGAATTGAAGGGTTCCAAACATTTTCCCTATAAAAATATACTATGACATTACAAATAGTAAAAAAGGTAATTATATCCGAATAATTAGTGAGCACCACAACTACTTCCTGGTGCAATAAAAAGAAGTACCGCCTTCAGAAGCACGCGACCGACTACTAGGAAAGTGGATTGCTCGGCTCCGCCTCTAGCTGGTGAGCCCCGTCTATCCGCTAATACTGGAACAAAAGTAGCACTGATGTCACGCATATTATTTATGGATCACATCCCGCTCAAGCCAGACTAGCCTCGAAACCATCCTTCTGGATTGATCTCTTAGGGCTGGCAGTTAAAGGCCAGGGAATGGAAGAACTTTGAACGCCTGCTGAGCTCACAAGCCTTTCCATGAGCTAAATTCCGATCCAAGAGTAGTCTTCTGAGACTCAAAACACAAGTCGAATGCGTGGCGTATGTCAAAATAACTTCTCAAAGCCCCACCACTCAATTATTAGGTTGTCTCATAAATAGTGTCGCTTTTTTTCAAACAAAAAGTTTTCATCAAATCCTCATGCTTTTACATCGTCATATACCATTCGAAAGAGAATTGTCTGCTCTACAAGATATGTTCTTCTTCCACCTCTGTTCCAGGTTTTCAAATTTTAGGCCTGCGAAATGGGAGGTCCGCCGACAAAAATTGACCAAACCGACAACTAGCTCTAACTTTATTTTCCCTGGAGAAATCAATCAATGATGTACCCTCTACTTACTCATGACCTCTTCTGAACATTCCACCCTTAGGTTGCCGAAAAAGCTTTGCCGTGTTTCTTTTCGAATTGGCTGACCGATAAGCCATAGCAATTTTCAAATTGAAATTGTTCCTCGTAAACGCCATTGTTTTCATATCAAGTGGTGTTCCTTTTGTGAGCACTTCTTCTGCTCTATTCGCTCATTTGTTTTGTTTTGATGTTTGTTAGGAATTAGCTCGAATTTTAGGTGTTTAGGAGTAAGGTGCTTTATCCACGAAAGTGACCGCATTTCTTTGAAAAAAATTATCCCTGAGAAGATGAGAAAATCAACCAGGCGTACATTCCTAACTTAGTCATGACTTGTTCTTTAAATTCTACTAGTTTTTCAATGTCTCAGCTATTCGTGTGAGATGATAATGCAACTTTCAAACTGTTAGTTATTTCCAATGATTGTTTCCATTTAGTGTAACTGTTGGTCACGATGTGATTGTGTTTGTTTTGTATTTCTAGACCTGAGGAAGGGCTTAGAGCCCGAAACGTCGTCACATAAAAGATTTTGAAGAGTTTCATATCATCTGCACACGAAGAACATATCTTACAATGAAGCTCAGAAACCCTATGATATTAAATGTCTCGGCTATAAAAAAATTTCGACCTCGATCTCAGGTAATGGTGCTCGACCGTCGAGTTCTGGTTGAAAAACCAGGTCTGGAAATGGAACGACGCGACTTGTTGGGAAACCTAATAGTGTAATGTTTAGAAGAGGTCATGCATAAGTAGAGGGTACATCATTGATTGATTTCTCCCAAGGGAAGATAAAGTTAGAGCTAGTTGTCGGTTTGGTCAATTTTTGTCGGCGGGACCTCCCATTTCGCAGGCCTAAAATTTGAAAACCTGGAACATAGGTGGAAGGGGAACATAGCATCTTGTAGAGCAGACAATTCTCTTTCGAACGGTATATGACTCGATGTAAAAGCATAGGGGATTCAGATTATAGAAGATATTTTTGATTGAAGCAAACGCGACACTGATTTAATGAGACAATCTTGATACCATTCGTGAAGTCGACTTGGTGAAATGGCACTAAGTGTGTTTGAAGCCTAACTTCTTCGCATCCCTAGCTCTCTCCCAAAAGAGTTCTCGCAATAGCATACGTTGGGACGTTCGTTCAACGGATGCTTGAGCCTGCTATATCCGAGTTGTCGGTAGTTGGTTCACTGTGCGAAAAAAGGAGATTATCTATGAGAAAGGATATGGTAAAGCTCTGACTTCAAGGTCTAAAATCGCACGCATTTACCTGACGAAATAAAAAAAATATATCAGAAAGGGTGAGTGACCGCAAAATAATACGCTATCGCGATTGGAACTTGCACATAGCTGAAAGCTGTTTCTCTCACACAGGAATGGTAAATTTTCTTTTTTGCAGGTTTTTAGGGGCACTAGTGAATTGCTCATGAAGAATTGTCCCGGACAAGCTTTGGAAAGACTAAGTTTAGCACGATTGAAATAAAAATGGTCTAGATTTTTGTAAAGATGACCTTGGAATCAACATATCAGACAATTTTTTCCCCCCGTAGAGGATTCACGACATCGTCCAACTTTCCTCAGTAACGCACGCCGAGTCTCAGCCCAGTTGGGAACATGCATAACGACTGGGCGAACATTAGGCGAATACACCATAAACCACAGAAACGAGCAATAATCAAAACAATTTCTTCCCTTATCGCCTATTCGACTACTCGCCCAATGGCGATCGCCAACTCCGACGGCTATCTAAGCAAGAGCTGAAGTCGATCTCAAAGGGTATAGATGGAAAGCAGCAACCATGTGGCTATATTCCAATCGCAATATTGCTCTAATGACCGCACCTACGTCCTAATGTCGCATTGAAACCGATCGTGAATAATAAAGAATTCCATACTTCGAATACCGCTACCATTTGTCCAATTTCCAGAAACGGAACGAATTTTCTTCGGGGTATTCCCGACCATTGGAACAATAACAATTCATGTGATGGCATTTGCAATTTAGACCTTTTCCAACGAATTTCTGTTGAATGAATAACAAAAAAGAGCGCTGAAAATAATCAAGGTAAAAGACCGGCTCTCGTGAGAACGGGGCAAAAGACAACACTGCCTCGTACACCAGTTTGCCGTTCTGCTCTCTGTCCCGGGTCCATTCCCACGGGACCCAAAACAAATTGAAAGCTGCAGACACCTGATGGCATCCTCCTTCAAAGTGCCCATTTTGTCAATCTGGAAATGAGAATTGCGTACTTTGCGTACACTGATTTTGGCAAATTTCAGCCATCCTCATAAAATTCCCTCACCACTCATAAAAATAGTTTGGGGAAATCGTAACAGGCCAGTGCACGGGTACTCAGCGGACAGCTATTAGTTTAGGGCTATTACTTTTGCTATTCTGCTTTTTATTAGCACGGTTATATTTACGGTAGCGCAGCTTGAATGCATATAAACAAATGAATAAAAAGTAAATAAACAAATAAATAAATAAATAAATAATGAAGCCATTACTGAATTCTTTCAGGGCTATTTGAACGTATTTGACATCCTCTCAGTTTCACAGAGACTGTGATCATGAGTTCGCATTTTACCCTCACCTCATCGTTTTCAAGACTTGACCTACATATGTTCCGGCAAAAAGCTCGAGCATCCATTACCCTTGGTAAGTAACTGAATTCGGAAGCAGGGTGAACCACGGTAGACGCTTTTTCAAGAGGGGGGGGGTGGATTTGTAGAAGTTTTGGGGGGTCGTAGATGGAGATGTGCGAAGCGGGAGAAGTGGAATCCGTCCGCATAGAATTCCATCGTGTCAATTTTCCTATAACGCCATCCCCCTCGTCCCTTTCCCTCCTTCCCAACGCTCTTAGGGTAATGTTGGGAAATTGTTGGAGGCAGATGAAGTTGCACGGCAACTTTGAAGCACCATGACTAGAGGAGGTCATAGTATAAAACTTGGTAGACGGCGTTAGGTACAGGTCTCATCCAGGCCTCCGTTGAGGGATCCTGGCCATTTTTGAAAACTGTGGGTTACCACCTAAATGCCTCTAATCGCTACCAGAAGACGATTCAGATAACTATAACAGCGAATGAATATCAATAGGGGTGATGGTGGTGCAGTGGCAAGTGGCGGCGCTCATCGCGCGCACGATTCGGGATCTCTCGACTGAATTCTGCCCAGGCCAAGTGAGCCTTTCGCTCCTCTTGGGTCGATTACTTGCTAATACATTTACCTGCAAAAAAACGCATCGGCTAGGTCAGCAACTATAATTAAGGCCAGCCCTTGTCCTCGCTTTCGATGCTGGAAAATCGGCAGCGTCATTGCGCCGAAATGGATCAGAAATTAACCAAGACCATTCGAAAAAGAACGAAAAAGCCGCAGGTTCATGCATCCGGATCCGCCCACGAATCTTCCTTGTTTGTTAATTAGCTTAAAGAATATCTGGCAGAAAAAACGTTGAATTAAATAAAGAAGTAGGTAGTTGTGTTGAATGGAATCAGACCAATAAATGAACACAACATTTGTATAATATCTGGAAGGCTCCCGACCCGCTGGGCTGATTCCTTTTTTGAGTATTTCAAAAAACGCGGCCTGCGAAAAAAAAAACGCAGAAAGAAAACGCATGCGAGTCGCCAGAAATCGGCTGGAATGATGGAGCGCGAAAGACTGCTAAGCGAAGGACAAAAAAATCATTTTGAGGTAAGTAGTCAATGTAAAGTAAAAGTATTTGTATAATGCTTTAATTTCAAGCCAATAAAATTGTAAATTCACATTCACACAAAATTAAAACGGTACAGACATCACATCCCAAAAATCAGCCATATAGTTTATTTCGGACAGGGGCGCTTCTAAAGAATTACATACATTGAAACTTCTAAGAGCTCCGTACTGTCCTTAAGTACGTGTCGGAAAGATGCTAGCCTTCACTGTGAGCTTAATCGCATTTAGTGCTTTTTAATGGCATCGCAGCAGTGATAAGACGCTTTTCTTCTCAAGCGATACGCCATCGGTCTAGAAATAGCACCATAAGAGGCCAGCCTCATCAAGTCATTTAGACGTGTATAGACGTCATTAGTTCGGAATGACTATAGATGGATTCAAGGGCAACTTCTGAGCCGAATGAGCCATCATCCCCTGGAGGATCGGCAGGGGAAGGCCAACAGGCAGCTCGTTCTTTCTCATGGTCAGAGCAGAGCGAATTTGAATTTGCACTTCGGAAGTCAAAAATCGGAAATAGAATCTGAAATACTCCCGAAAACCGGAACGACTTTGAGATACCAGGAAATTACATGGGCAGTTACAATGCTAAAAGGATACGGGTATGTAGGTGGCCCATCGGAAAGAAAACCATAACAACAGAAATGATAGAAGATGTTTAGTGGGCGGTGCTAATGGTTGGCGCTCAGTTCAGACCCCACACGGCAAGGAAAACCTGTATAAATATTGGATTTCAACAAAACGAATGCAATACACAGAAGAAGTGGTTTGGGACCATGGTTCTTCAACTCGCGAAGTTTTCCCATCTCCGCGGTTTCTGTGCTACATGAGGTTTACTTAAAGGCAGTGATCACGATGGCTGGAAGGCGGTGCGAATAGGACTCAAGGTACTCATTGTGGAGGGGTGTTAAAGGAGTACCACAGCGCGCGAGTGTCAGGTTAGTCCATCCATGAATCTAATGATCCACTCTAAATCGCACGGCCTCCTTCCTTGCAAAACATGGACCTCCGCACAACAAAGAAACATGATGAAAGGAAAAAAAAACACTTCAAAAAACATGTAGTGAGATCAGAGGGTGAAACAAAGGACATGGGGAGGAGGTAAAATGAAGAAAAAAAGAAACAAGACGGTACGAAGAAGTCTCATGCGTCAGTACTTCCATTGTTAGTTCTTGAAACTGAAGACTCCGCTCGCTTCTTATTTCATCTTGGAAAAAGCGTCAGGTCCAATCTGATAACACATCTGCCGGGGGTTCGCTCGTCTTCCAATTTCAGTCGCGAAATGGACGCGATTTTAGAGCGCAGGCCAAACACACCTCCCGTGATTCTACTATAATGAACAAAAAAGCAAATGAAAAAAAACCATGAATGGTCACTAGATATAATATTTACAAGTCAATGTGTAATGAATATTAAACTATATATAGTAGAATTCAGTTAAAGAGTATTGATACTAAAAAGAACATTATTCACTTCAAAAAGAAATTTCGATTTTTTCCATATTTTGAACTTTTTTTAAATAATACTTGATTATTGAATTTAAAGGATTTAGAATCTCACTCGTCCTGATTTTTAGCCACTGTCTTCCTCACGCCCTGGCGACAATTGCAGGCTGCAGCCCATGGCTGCCATTGTCTAAGACAACCCTTGTAACCATAGCCTGCCGCAGGCGGAATGTGTTAACCTATCGGCCCTGTGCGGGTGGCAATTGCCACCTACCAAATTGAACGCTGATTACTCTGAGACAGCATGGTCTAAACCTGCTAGAATTGTTAGTCAACATACCTCTAAATATACTAAACTGGCCATTTCGTTTTCTTGCTGTTAGTACCGTATGCCAATTAAGTGTATTTTTTACTTAAAACACATTAGAATAATTCCTAAATTAAAATTATGGGTTATGCAAGATTATAAACTTTTTCGGCATAACTATGAAATTTCGAATTGTTTCGACATAAGCTTAAAAACTAAGAAGGTGGGCCAATTTTCAAAGCTTCTTAGTTTCTTTGTTTGTGATCGAATAGCTTCCAAATTTCGCCATAATGATACCTATATGCTCACAAGTAATAAACAATAGCTAGAAGAAAAATTTCTCCACGGGGAAAAATTCAGGTCCGAAAGGGTTAAGGTCGATTTTGCGCCATGTCGACGGAGAACAAGGTACTGCACGTTGGCATATCCTTGTCGGTCGATACTGTCCCGGTTAGGTGGCATAAGACGTATTGCAGGAGACAGAAATAACGGCCCAAACGAGTTGCTGTGCAGGCCAAAGCCAATATACCAGCGCCGAACACTCAGCTTATTTCATCTAGTATTATGGGATTCAACAAAGCCCAAGTGATTCTGGGATTCTGGGGTTCTGACGAAGGGAAATGCGAAGGCTAAATATAGCTACTGATTCCTGTACGAGTCGATTTATAAAATAATCAACTGAAGATAAATATCTATGAATAGATAGCCATAACACCCCTGGATGAAGCTTTTGAAGCCAAGGCGATGGTCGCCGACTAATCCGCCGGAGCACAACAACAGCTACGTCATACCGATATCACGACATTAGCTATCAGCTCATCATCTACGGCAGATCGGTCGGAGCCGTGGTCGCCAGGGCTCTCCGGCTTATTGTTAATCCTCTCCGAATTAGAACCGCTCTGCGGGAAATAAGCTCTTAAGCCGTTGCGGATGTGTGGCATATGACGTCAAATTTGCAGCATTAATGAGCAAAACTGCACTGGAGTGTGCCACACATTCGACTTTCATTCGGAAAAGCCGACGTATTTCTACATGCAGCAGACTTGTGCTTGAGCTATTCGTTGAAGCCCACCTTCGTCCAACTCAGTGTCACTATTCTCTTGAATGATTCGAACGAGGTTCTACTTGGAACACCCCTGTGCGGCACCTTGCAGTCGGTTCGACGCTCTCATTAGTAGTCGTTAACACCTTAGTTGTTCTGCTACTGGCTGAGATCACGAACATCCTTCCTAGCCCTTGAAAGCGGAGTCCACGATGAACACGCACTCCTACCAGAAACCAAGGAGAAACGGTCAGAGCCGTAGAAGATGGACCCTTTCATGGCCCAATTGGCGCATCCGTCTGCCTGTGACTCTTCGTCGAGTGCAGCCTTTTAACGCTGGAGCATAAACTCTCTCTAAACGCAGTCCGTCGACGGGAGGCGGAGCGGCGTGAGCGACGCGATTATGACTCTGCTAGCCAGTTGGGAGCATTATCGACATTACTAAACGTGCATCGTTCTGTACCCTTAAGGACACGGCGTTCCTTCACCAGGTATACAGGGGGGGGCAAAAAAAGGACATTTCAAAGACAGGTCTTCAAATCAGATGGATTTAATCCCACTGTGCTCAATTCAAACCAAATGGTACCAAATTAGAATTTAAAAGCGCGTGTTATTTTACAAGGAAATCTTCAAGTGGCTACGTACGTGGGGGGCATCTGAAAAGTTTGCCGCGGGAGCTGCGTCACTAGATCGAGCTCAGGGTCTTCGGCGATTTGTACCACAACGCGCCTTTACTGAAAGCCGAGTTTCGGATGGGGTTTCCATAATGGACCAATGTCTCTAGGAAACTATCCGACATTGAATCGATTCACGAAATTATGTAAGAGCTTCAGGCTGAAGCAGTTACGGTAGGCCTTCTTGAGCTTGACGACGATGACAGATGACGTCATATTCTGAAGACGGTGAGGGCAGTGAAGGAGGGTCTACCTACTATAGAGGGACTTTAGAGAATATTTGCTGAGGAACTTCCTTCACCGACGGTAAACCCCTGCGAAGAAAAGAGGATAGGATGCAACATGGAAATCCTTTTTCCCCCTCCCCCCCTGATGTGTTCCATCTCCGACCTAACGAGCTTCGTGGAATAAATCTAGTCAACAACCATAAGCGGGTTAAGAACAAGGAAGGAAGCAAAATAAAGCGCAGGAAAGAGTGCATCTCTTTAGGGACAAGCCTAGGAGGTGCCAAACTGGGGATGTAATATAAGAATTACATCACGCATCCGAACAAAGTCTTTCCTCTTACCGCTGATTACGTCCCGTTTATGACAAAAACGTGATATTTCACGCGATTTTAAATGCAATGCCACATTAATGCCCCGAATCTTGCAATAGCGCCCAAACTCGATTTCGGTATAAAGTTTGGAGGCATGGCGTACTCCTGATTGAGTCACCGTGGTCCCTGTCATTGTACAGTCGTCTCGCCGTTCCTTCTTTTTCAACTTTTCAACTTTTTTCTTTTTTCATTACATAAGCTAAAGAAATGCAGGGTAAAAATGAGGTAGGACCACAAATAAACTCAGGGGCAAGAAGGCAGGAGCAACGTGGGATGAGTAAGGGTATGGCAACAGCGAGGCAGGCGAAAGTTGCTGATGGCTCGGCACTTGCCATTCTCGGCACAGCATCTCTAGTAATTAGGGGAATGGCCAAAATCGCTAGATAAATACTCCCGTGTGCCGACGAAAGCGCATCGAAGAGCTGATGGAGAATGACATCGAGGGAGACATCCGCCAGCAGACAAACAACAACACATCCCCCACCTCACCAGACGTTTTGTATTAGCGAACATTCTTAAATGATAGCTGATGGTGCCAATTAATTGTTTCGTTGAAAAATTGAGCGGTCTGCGATGCTTTACTTCCCTTTTTGGATGCGCCATGCACTCTGGTTGCATCCAGAAAACTAGAACTCACTTGCAATTTATGTAATGGCATTCAACGGAAGAGCCCAAATCGTTCCTGTAGAATTTTTGTATTTCGATGAAAGGGATACGTGGGCTGCTACTCGACTAGTACTAGCCTCCCTGGATCCTCTTCTACGCGCCCCCCCTCCGAATTGTGAGCCGTAGTCATCTATTGTGGGTGCGTCGACAACACAATGATGATGAAAGGAATTGTTTGACGCCTAATCCGCATACCTTTGCTGTTAGAAGTTCCTCCAGCTCGTTAAGAGCTGTCCTGACAAGGCCCTTCAGCAGCGAATAATCAACGATATATGAGCATACCAACAATACCGCCAAAAGCTTTCGCTCGATTTGGTAGTGGCAGAAATACTGCCCGACGGATAGCGAACATGAGTGTACCAGGGGGGGGGGGGGGATTTTTTCTCCAGACTCGAATGAATAATCACACTCGCTCAGCTCGAGCAGTGATCTCCCAGCTCAGCAATTTTGCGACGATTCATCTCATCAAGAAATTCAGGTGGCCATCGACGTGGACGCATAGAGAAGTCGGTCCTGGAAACATGGCTGCTTTGTGGTTCTGAGCTCAGTGGGGTTCTCGACTGATCGTGTACCGTTACGACGGGTTCCGAAGGAGCGGGTTCCGAGGGGGTTTGCATAGTTAGAGCTAATGTCCCTAGGAAACTATCCCACGTTGAATCGATCCAAGAAATTATGTAAGAGCTTCAGGCTGAAGCAGTTACTGTAGGCCTCCCTGAGCTCGACGACGGTGACAGATGACGTCATATTCTGAAGACGGTGAGGGTAGTGAAGGAGGGCCTGCGTGTACTTATAGAGGGACATTTATGGAATTTTGCTGAGGAACTTCCGTCAACGACGGCAATCTCTGAGAAAAAAAAAGGCCGAAGTGCGACCTGAGCAAAATTCTTTTTGGCCCCCCCCCTAATGGCTCAGGCAGGCCTTAGCCTAAATCTTAGCGTCAGAACAACATTACCAGTTTGAACTAACTCTAAATCTGCATAAATGTATTATTCTTGACCGAACTTAAATCGTAAGTGAAAAATTGGATACCGATCCTACCAGGCAAAGAGCTTTTTAGAGTTCTAATGAAATTTAGTCACGTAACGTTCTTTAGTGTGGCGCATACCGATCTGAACCTACACTAAAAACGCGATTTATTTAGCGCAATTCGTATGAAGTATTTGAAGTTTTTGACTTCAACAAATAATCATAGTAAATTTGTTCATTTCAACCTTATTCTTCAAAAACTTTGGCATTTCTAAAACTTTGCGACCCTTGCTTCAAGACGGTCTCATGTGCCTTCCACCACCATCAGTTTTAGTCCCCATGCGAACCTTTCTCCTTACTCTGATCGCCACCCTCGCCATCATGACTGCTTTTGTAGTTTTGATTGTGAAACCAGTCTACACACTCGAACTCCGCCCAACTTCGCTTTCCCAGGAAAACAGTCGTCAAATCAGAGAGATACTGCGCTAAATATTATCTGAATAACTCAATCAAATACAAAACCCTTTTTTTAACGGAGCCTTTCGCACTTTTCCCGAGAGGTAGGCAGCCTACTTGGTCAACCCAATGCGCCATCCTCTCCAAAAACACAAATGCGACACCCTCCCCCTCCTTCGAATAGTGCGGACGGACGGTTGATCACGGTTCCGAATGCCGTTTTCGAGGAATTTAACGGGTGGCAATACTTGGGAATGGAAAGCGTAATAACTTCGTATAAAGTCTAGTGTAAACGTATTCTAGAGTTATCGTGAGAAATTTTCATATGATTGGATTGATAGAAGAGCAAACGTTGCGGAAGTAATTAAAAAAAACAAATGAAATATAAATAATCAAATGAATAATAATAATCAAATGAATAAGCAAAATGATGGTGAGTGGAGGCCGCGAAAAACTGGATTGCGACATATATGGGTTCAAAAAAGCAAACAGTGAAAGCTGCGTTGGGGCAACCCTACCCCCTTGTGCTCTGCGGAAGGATCAAGATCGGGGTGTTGATAACCCTAGAGAAAATAGCCTTGATAACGCTTAAATTTAGAGCAGGTTATTGCTAAGGGATGGCGAAGTCAGCCTGAAATGGAGAAGACAAGCGATCCGGGGATGATGGCAGGAAACTTACGCCTTGGAAGGGATAGAGAGAAGATTGGGCAGAGCAAGTGCTCCAGATTCAGTGGACCACTGACCACGTGGGAAGAATTCGGATAGAATATTTTGAAGGTCTATTCCGATAAGAGGAGGCATTGCGGTGCACAGTAATCTCTAACGCCAGTTTGTTCAGCTAAACGACTCCTTAAAGGTGACGAGATGCTATCAGCTTCTGGTTTTTATGTAATTTATGTGCTCTTGTGTTTTATAACATAATACACAATCTATGAAAAGTAATATTCACTTAGTGAGCGTTTATAATTAAGCCTAGGGAGAGGGAGGAAAGCCCTCAAAGAAATCGAGGATTGCTCTGGAACTCTGGGTTTCCCTCCCCCTTTTGAGGCTATGTCCTGAACCTTTACACTGGGAGAAAACTCTGTCCTGTTTTTAAATAGGTTGAGCGCTCTAAACCCCCTTACTGAAATAGACCCTATGTTGGATTGACATTTTAATCGTCCTTATGACGAAGTTGCTTCTATGAGCGTGTTCGCCAAAGTCCCTATCCTTATCGCTAAGTAACCATAGCGCTAGAGACGCAGAGCATAATGGAGCCTCCTTCCTCTAACACTAATTTCACCCAAGCGAACTGGCTCGGGGAAAACACAAAAGTACACAGATGCTATTTTGAATACCTATGGCATGATTGGAGATGACGTACAAGCTCTAAAACACTTTTGAGATCTAATTCGGGTCCGTAAGATCGGATTCGACAAAGGCGTTCCCAGAGAGCGGCCTAGGAGACTCCCGAAGCAGAGCCGACTTGATAGGGTGCATGTAGAATTAGTATTAATTGGCATTATCCCCATCAGGCATTCAATGGGGAAAAATGGCGCCGATATACCAGGAAAGCTAATCCGCCCCCAACAGAATATCCGGTGAAGGAAGAAGGAGAACGGGACTGAATCTGGAGAGCTCTTCCCCTAGGAGCTGGCCTTCAGATGTGCGAAGCTGACGAATCACTTCTGGAGGCTCTACCTTATGGACCAGTTTCCTCCAGACGAGATGCTCCATTCGTACCACCAGAGGATTACCGACGTGAGCTAAAGCAGAGGACCAGTGAGCTCCCCTGTGAGCTATTCTGGGTTGCCTTCAAGAGCTGTTGCTCTCTAATTGTTGTTGCTCACTGCCACTTTACTGTACACAAACAACCATAAGGTACCGCCGCATCATAAACAGCAGCACAGCAAAGTGAGCAATACTCATAACTTAACATAACCACTTTTAATCCTGGCTGTCAAGGCTATAGACAAATCGTCTAGCTTCGACTCTCGATGAACATTGTAAACTAGCACTAGAGCCTTTCGGAAAGACAGCCGCTAGCACAAAATTATGGGGTCATTGTAGTGACAATGGGCTTGAAAACGCATCAAACAATTACTTCGTGTCAAGAACCTTAGACGCCTTACGAGCAATCCCAGGATGCGTGAGCAATTTTCATTTTGCCAGAAATTCCTGCCTTCCACGCTCGATCAAGCGGACATGTACGTTTTTGCATTGCGACCGACGGAATCTGGACAATCCTCTCCGCTTGTGAAGCCAGCACTGAAATCTCTCAATTACCCAGAAAGAAAATGGCTGGCTAACTGCTTGGTCTCAGACGAATCATTGTTAACTGGCGCCCATCAGCGAGTTGGGGGTTGACCAAATAGACGTAAGTCCATGGTGTACAGGGGAGGAGGAGGGGGGGGGGGCAAGAAAGCAGCATTCCCTCCAACATTGAAAGCGGAATTATTATGTCGCTTGAAGAAAGTTCTGCGCTTTTCGACCCTGAGATTTTCAAATGCCTGCTATGCTCGGCTCAGAGCGAAAACTTTTTGATGTGGAGTAAGCCTGTGTATTACGACAACGTTTGCAATAATAGCCGCGTTGGACTCGACCCGGTAGTGCAGAATACTGGAGCTCTAGAGACGATGAACCCGGCGGAGGTCGTTTCGCATCATGTTGGTTTTTGAAGCATAACTCTTTGGAGAAGCTATCCAGGTAGTCGAGAAAGTGACAAATTATAGGCAAAAGGTCTACCGAGTAGGATGTTCGCAGGACTAATTCGTAGCCAATCTTGTCGAACTTCTGCAGGGTTGGTTGTGGAATGTGCGTCCGAGCTACCTGTCAGGGACGAGCCGGTTCCTTTATAATGAGGAATTTCGAGCATATGTGCCAGAGTTCTAGGAGTAGTTTACACATTACCAAGATAGACTCATCCACGATTACACGAATCCACCTGGTCAGAAATAGTGGACCAGCATCTGTCCTCACGAAAGTACTCAACCTTCCTTCATTGAAGTTTCACTTTTGCAAAGTTTGTAGAGCCTGATCGCGGTTCGATCACTTCCACAAAGGTTCGCACGCTGTAGCAAAGAATCCGTTCTTTGTCGTACGTCGCAAATGATCAAAAAGTCAGGTCGTTTTCATGGCATGAAACAAGCTAGAAGCGGCGAACGACCCTTCAAAATGGTGAGCTGTCGCGGCACGCCCTATTTGAATTTTTGGGACTTTCCAGCTCTTCCCGTACAACAAGAAAACACAATGCAAGTGCTAGATTTGTGCAAACGTGCTTCAACCAGAACGTTCGACTAATCGTTTGGCGTTGTGCAATCTCCGACCACCACCTTCATCATTTTGAGCTCTCACATATCCTTACAAGTAGAGCTTCAGGTATATAGTTACTGCGAGTCAGACCAGGCATCTAATATAATTGACTGAATATGACCTGCTCCTTCCATACTGCTGTTTGAACTCAAGAAGTAAGTAAATCATGCAAATTCGCCCTCCTGTATTCAAGGCTTCAGAAAATGAGAACTTAATGATAAGAAATCATATGTAGCTAGCCTAGCTGTTAGATAGAACAAGAAAAGCTCTTCAAAACCACATACAGCTCATTGGCAGCTTGCTTGAATTCGTAACAAAATAAAGCGTTCAAAAACGAAACACCGAAAAGCGCAAGAACTTTCTTCACGACCTAATAATTACACTTGCTGGATTCAAAAGTAGCATCCCTACTGCAAATTGAAGAGCAAACCTCAGTCTAGCGAAAACTTCATGATAGCCTTCTACCGCGACGACACAGAAGATTTCCCTTCGGGGCGATGAAAAATTTAATGATGTGCGTCATGGGCACTCGTGCTCTTTTTTTTTGTTTCCGGCAACACCTACCTGTAGATGGACTGAAACGATGCAGGTAACGAAACGAAATTCTTCAACACTCTTCACCAAGCCAGCGTGGGGGCTTTAATTTGCTGTTACACGGCTGAGCTGCCTAGGCTCTTACGAAGTTATTACGGTGTAATTTGCAAGCAGTTTGCGGATGACATCAAAGTATATAGGAAAATAGAAGGTATTGATGATATAAGGAATATTCAAAGTTCTTTGGATTCTATTTTGCAGTGGTCTAAATCATGGAGTCTACCTCTAGCACCCGAGAAGACAGTGTTCATGAGAATTGGTGGCTCTATATTGCCAGGAGCCTATAGACTTGGGGAGCATATTCTGAATGAAGTCTCCGCTGTTAAGGATCTTGGCTTCCATTATGCGTATAACAAGCTCAGTTTCTCTGATCACTACGAGTCCATCTTCAGGAAAGCGACTTTCCGCAGGTACCAGATTTTTAAGGGTTTGACAGTTAACGATAAAGAAGTTCTGATCAGGGAATACAAAACGTATGTAAGTCCAATTGCAGAATGCGGTGTGTCAGTTTTTTGCCCTTGTAAGAATAAAGACGTGAATTACTGGAAAAAATTCAGGATAATTATACCCGTAAAATATATATTAAGTCGGGGCAGGTAGAGTTCTCTAGTGTGCCTCGCCCAGCCTCTAGGAACCAAAGTTTTAAACTTCATAGCCTTAAATCACGTAGGAAAGTGTATGATGTTTGCATGGTTTTTAAGATACTAACTGGGATTTCCAAAATTGATGCGTCCAAATTCTTCAGTAGGATCGAATCTAGAACCAGGGGTGGTTCGGTGAAAATTTCATATGCAACGCCTCGAACCAATTTGAAGCTTCCACAGTTTCACCTGTAGAGCAGGCTCAGTTTTTATCTCCCTTAAATCAAAAGTTGCACTACTTTCTCCTGCTTTTATGCACTTTAAACGCCTTGCGAAGAAAGAACTGTTGAGTTTTACTTAGTGTATGATGATTTAGTATAGCACATTGTTGTTTTCTTTTCCCACGTCTACCTTATGTAGCGTATGAATAAATAAATAATAAAATCAATAGGACGAGTCCTTAGGCGAAGGAGGAGCTCGAGAGTGCTTCAGCCATTTCCATTCTCCCCGGAATGCCTGCCCCCTCCCAGGTTAGTCCTAGAGGATGTCCCCATATATTGCGATAGCGATAAAAACTGTTTACTCACCCCTTAAGTCAATCTTGCTCTCTAAGGCATAGTCCTGAACTGAGTATTTCCGTAACCACCGATGCAATGTTCCAGGATGCTCCCTCTCCTTACAACTCCCTTGTGCTGACTAGTGTTCGAGTCCAAATTCCAAGCAAAAATGGTACAACTCTCGGAACCTACTGGGATGTCCATCTTCAGCATTTGATAAGTTAACGTCTAAAAGAGTAAGCTTGCCGACGACTCGATGCAGAAACTCGATACGTGTTTGGTGAAGAGTTCAGGGAAAGTGATGATGAAGTAGCTACTCTCGAAAAAGATGGGTAAAACGAGAGTATCGTGCTGCCGCTACATGACGACGTGGGCGGCGACGGCTAACAAGCTTCGTTATTCGATCGCGGTGCACCGTCGGGTGTTGACGATAAACACACAGCGGATACTCAATTTTCTAGGGAATACTGTGACTATCAGGAGTTCGCATTGGGACCAACAGATCGTCGTGAATCTTTTCAATAGTGAGCGCGTCAACCATTTTCATAAGGTTCTGCCTTCATCAATATTTTCTGAGCAAATTAATCCCAGGGCAAAAATCACTGAGCGTGAATAATCCGATTTGGAAGAGGGGCGGAAGTGGCTAAAATGAAGGTCTTCATTCTCAAAAAACTCCCGCTAAACAAATCCACTCGCTGAGCTTGCAGTAAACATTTCGCCGAGTGTCACACCTGATCGTCGCTGAGGGGGAGCTTCTCAGTGTCCACGCAAAGCCGAAGAGGGGGAGGCTCTAGGCAGGGTAGCTGCCACGTATGGCTTCGGAATAAACCCTAACCTTGGCCTCTTCTCGGATTGTTAACGAGAACAATGCTTAGTTGCTAAAGTTTGGCAGAGTCGCCCTATTTAAGGGGGAAATATCAAAGCAATCTGCGGCTACCCAACTAAATGTCTCTGTGAAGTCTGAGATAAGACAAGCAATCACACACAATCCCAATAGGCCACCTACCAAAACTCGACCTGGTTGTCGGAGCCACCTCAAAGGATTATTCCACGATGAGGAAGAACCAAAGAAGGGGAAAACTGCTAGTGGAGAGAGACGGACCTCCTAAGGGCGCGGACAGACATGCCATTCTGATCAAAGGATGTGCCACTGACGGTCTAGCATGACCATCGCCGCTGCACAAGTTGGCACTGCGGTCGTTGTTCTAATGGTTGATGTCCGGCGTCCATCCGGGCTTACTGTCGTCTGCGCGGTAACGTCTCTCCTCGCGTCTTTGGTATTGAATCTCTACCGTTCATGCAGAGTAGAGAGCATTATTGTTGATCGAGGCACACCCCGATAAGGTCTGCGCAAATCAGCAAACGGAGCGAGCACCGCTTTGAGTTTCTAGATCACTTTTTCTCGTTTTTTCTTCTCCATCCTCAAACATCACTGGCCACCTACTTATTTAATTTTCCAATGGGTTTCCTTTTATCGTAAGATTCACCTAGCCAGCAGCGGAACTACGGTAATCTGGGCCCTTAACTTCAAGAAACAATAAGGTTGTAGAAGCATGGAGGTTGCAGTAGTCATGAATTGGTTCGATCCCGTCTTGCTTCAAAAGAAGGCATTCAAAGAAGTTCAACCCACCGAAAGCGTAAGTCCCTTAAAGTTGTGCTACATTTAGATTACGATGAAAAGGCAGCCCACTAAAAATCAACGTAGAGGTGGTGACGCAAGGATAAAAAAAAAACAGAAAAACAACCTAGAACCCAAGAAGTGGAACCTCCTCTACCCATCATTTGCACTCAGTGCTCTGATCGTTTGCTTGAGCACTCATAACGCAACGCTTTCTGTACCCGAGCCAGCACATTCGGGACGGCCTAGGGGCAGTATCAATGATTTACGTACGGTCAGCTACATCGCGGGCTATCCGAGTTGAGAATAATCAGGTTATCAAAGTAGATTCGATTAGGATACAATAAGTGTTGAGAGCTAGAGTGAGCTAAGAAAATAGAAGCGTGCATGAGGCCCGAAGGAGAAGATAGGAATTGATAGACTAGGAAGAGTATGGGAGGTGGTCGATGACTTAAAGAGATCGTGTTCAAAGAGGAAAGACGCAATCTCTAATCCAATACGAGACCACTCAGACTGAAACCGACCTCCTTTCGTTTCATTCCCTTTTCGGGATTCCCTGTTCTTATTGACGCCTAATTGAGTGTTCTGCATTAATTGTAAGGTCATTTTCGGGGGTACCTGCCGGGTGAAATCCAGCGCGATCATAGCTGTCCCTGCAATTGCAATTGCATGCATCATTTCTGGTGAGCTCGTTGTCGTCGTCGTCGTTCAATGCCATTATTACCCCGATCGTTACCCTCAAACGATGAGTGAGTGTGGAAAAAATCGCAAAATTTGCTGACATCAAGGACACTGAGCCCGAACGCAGACGCTGACCCATTGTGTAGCAAGCGATCCACGAAAAACCAAAAGGAGACCTCCTGCCATTCCAGGAGAGCCTGGAATTCAAAACCAACTAAGGCAGCTCAGTTTTACAAAGTACAGAGGCTAAAAAGGTGGATTACTGTAAGGCTTCGCGCACACATAGCCTTAGCGAGCTCAAGTGGTGAGCCTACCACGTCAGGTCAGTGAGGCTGAGCTCGTCCCACAGTCTTTAACACTTTGGAGCCCATGCAGCCCATATGTGGGCTGCGGTCTGTCAACCGTGTGGGAACTTCCGACCCATATTTTGAAAAAAATTATCAAATGTTTCTTTTCATTCCATTGCATACAATGAGGCTCATTCGGAATCAACCAATAGGTTTTTGTTCCCAGTTCGCTTGGTAATATTTTTAAGAAATTCACTCAAATCCCAAGCGGCCGCAAAACATAAAACATGCGCGGTCTCCAACGTGTTGATAATGCCATTCCATATACTGCAACATTTTCTCCTCCCAGAATAGCTGAACCCGGAAAAGAATGGCTCGATTCTTCCCTGCCAGGCTCAATCTCCATCCTGTGTACCGTTCTCTGTTCACGCTCCTACTTGCCATTGCCCTGATTTCAGGGCTCAAAGGACCGTTTTTTCTCACGGCTTTTATGAGTTTAGCCTTGACCAGACCGACCATATCATCTGATAGAATGAGCTAGTCTAGTGCTGAAAATCAGGGAACGGAAACCACTGCTTGTCCAGGAGTTCCGATCACGTTACGCAGATGCTCATTTTGGAGTGCTAGGTACTTGTAAGTTTTTCTAGCACTAAATGGGAAATCTTGTCGTTCTAGTAGAAACCCGTTCCTTTCTAACTAATTGAACGCGTATGTAGCGCGAATAACGAGAAAACGATCGAAAAAAGCGGCCCACTAGTCGACAAAAGCGGTTCTCATGCAGTTTCACCTCCACCCTTCAGCGTTTCTGTGACCTCGAAAATTTCCCTAAGAAACCACGTCTACAAAGAATAATTATTCAGGGTGATTGTGAAGAATTGTTTTTGGGGAAACATGTCAAAGAAAGCAAGCAGTGATTACAGGGACGGTTTTGCGGTGGTGGCAATGGTCTGCCCGAGTTACCAGTGGGGTATTCTTGTGGGTTGGCCTCAAAACCGCTGGAAAATTTATGAATTTTTTTCATATCAACCGAGGTGAACCAGGGTTCCTACCGCAATTTCAAAAATTCACGACTTCCCCCACCCCGTCCAACTCGACCAGAATGACAGTTGACCTTCATAAAACTGCTAAGCATTGCTGCAATAATTTGAACAAAACCCCACCGCAGAAGTCGTGTCGAAGAATCTATTCAGTGGGTGGGATAGAGTAGCCCACGAGTATCACAGATGTGCCGTTGTCGCGGCTCGAAAGTGCGCGACAATGGCGCTAGGGTCTTACAAAGTCAGCATTTGGCGACTAATCTTAGCATTTGGACGAGTTACGTCGCGCACACCCCATGACACGCAACGTGGATTACGGCGTAGCGGCTAATTCAAATACGCGCGGGTTAGTTGAGCCGTGGAGCAGGCAAGTTCGTACAACTCGTCTGGCCCCGCCCCTTCCTTATTTGAAGCTGTTGTTTTTAGCGGGTCAGTCGAACTTTGCTCTGTGCTTCGGACGTTACCCATTTCTAGTTCAACTCCATTATCAACCGCTGTGACCCCGCAAATTCGATCTAGAGGTATTGCTTTAAGGATAAATTCGTATCTTCTCTTCGAGGGGAATTAGGCTATACGGCTTACGTTAGCCGGTCGGCTTACAATACGCATCCCAATTCCATTGAAAGTCACACGGGCATTTCAAATGCGTGTTAGCTTTTTACAGCACTACGGCTAACGTGGCTGGGTCAACCGAAATCTGGTGTATTGTAGCAATCGCCGATTCCAGAACAACAGAAGGACCCTGATGAATAAGCAGAACTCGATCCTTTGGATGGCAATGGCGCTGCGTAGCTTAGCTAACCTAATGCGCCATATGTACCTACTGAAAGAGTTCAAGTATAGTATACTTCTGAAAGAGGTAACGAGGAAAAAGACAGATGTCATTCGAGATCACTCTTCTGTATATATAGCTGTTTTGGCATTGAGTGGCCGGACAACCGTAGTTAGGAGGGGAGAAGAAGGATCGGATGAGGCAGAGACGTCTACTCTTCTGCTCGTTTTCCCTCATTTACTGAGAATCTGTACGGTGCTAAATCAGCCATCACCCACGCAAAGTTACTTTTAATACAATCGGTCTTGGAATGAGCAAATTTTCTCTAGAATGCTACCTCAGTCAGAGAGGGTGACGAACAGGTGTGGCAATACACTAGCACCCCGTATTGTTGCCTAAGCCGTAAAATCCCTATCACTCGCACCCGGCGAACGCGAGGGCCATGGCGGCCCTATTTTAGGATTCGAACGCCACGGGTCCCCGCAAGGTCACTGTACTATTATCAGTGGGCGCGTGCGTGTACGGCAAATTAAACACCGCCGTTTACAGTAGTATTGGTCAGCCGTTCTCTGAGCCTAATCGTAACCATTCCATCCGAAATAGCCCTGCTAACCCTTCATTTTCGCGTTTCTCAACCCCACTCGAGCCACTTTTTTACACGATGTTTCCGCCATGTTTCACATGCTTCGCGCGGGTTCCAAAAAAGATTGGCCGACGGCCAGTCGACCGGACCCTTCGCGGTCATTGCTGGGAATTTACATACTCTGTTCGTCGCTGCGCATTGCACTATTGCTCAATGAATCTCTTGTCCAACTTGTATTGATTATTTGCCATTTTACGTTTTATGATATTGATTACTGACTTACTCGCGACCTTTTGCACTTGTATTATGTCTGATCACATTTTAAATTACTTGTCTGGTTACTTGTTCGATTGTTATCTGCGCTCAGCCCATTTGATCCACTTGTGTCTACGGTATGCTAGCCAAGGGACAGCCACATGGCGTTAAGAACACCTATTCCGGTTAACCTGACCCCGTTTAAAAAACTTCCTCCCTGTCAAAAT